AACAACAACAACAAAAAAACAATGACAAGCTTAATAAGGTGAAATAATAGTTTTCTTAGATGAATCAGGTGGCTAATCAAATGGAGATGTTTGTATGAAATTGTTATTATATACCTGTAAGTGCATGCGCAGGAAGCTTTTCCTCTTGGTGTACTCAAAATTGTTTCTCATGAGCAAGTAAAGAAGGGCAGACGCTTCCCCACGTAGGACACTTAGTTTAGACATACAGCACTTCAAGACTTCATAACACAGCGAACCACACAGAGTTACACGGCCCTTAAAAAGGGGAACCTGGAACTAAAATACATAATCAAAACACAAACACATTAATGTTCAAGTAGGAAATTCTACAACATCTTGAAAACATCTCTTGTCATTGCATTTGAAGATTGTGGTCATTCTTTAAAGCAATAGTTTACCCAAAATAAAAACAATTCTCATTAATTACTCATCTTTATACTTTGTTCCAAACCTGTATGCTAAAAATGTTGAAAAAAATTAAGCTGCACCTTTTGCATTAGCATTTAGGTAGGGAAGGTTGAGTAAATTATCATTTTCTGAGAGACCTATTCCTTTAAAGTTTGTAAAAGAAATATATTGATCTCACCTTGATGATGAAGGCTCGCAGAGAAGCAAAGATGTGTTTGATTGCTGTTTCTGATTGTCCGGCTTTTAATAAAGTGAGGTACGTGTCAAAGACCTTCGTCATCAGAGCATTGTGACCATCACTGTCCAGCAGTTGATTCTGTCAGGATCCATTAATTACATCAGTTTATGAAAGAAGCAACATATCCAACCAACAGTAAAAGCTTTGCTTCATCATGAACACTAGGATAAGAATATCCTAGAGTCTTGGTGATTACCTTGAAGCACTGAGTGAAGAGTGAGAGGACATCCAGCACGGTAAGGCAGGCCTCTGTCGACATATTCCCCTCAAGCAAAGACTGATGGTTTGTCTCTGCTTCTGTAGGACCTCCAGCTGAAATACAAGATTACACAAATACAAGCTAAAATCACAATGCAGAGTGAAAACAACTGGCTTCACTCAAAACGCTTGTAAAGAATTCTGTAGTTTTCGTGTTAATCTCATAGTCATAAGACTGTATTTTAGAGAAAAAAAAAAGAATTATGGTCTAAGCCAAGAGAAATTAAAGACTATAGTTGATTATGGTAAGTGTGTAATTTTTTATGTTAAAATACTTTCTCCTAAACTAACTTATTTTATGGATTTTTAAAAAAAAGTATGAATATTTTTATTCATCGAGGATGCATTAAATTGATCAAAACTGACAGTTACAAAAGATTTTTATTTCCAACTAAATTTGGTTTTTTT